GTTCTGTATAAAGCTTAAAAGTTTGACTTGTATAGTTTTCATTAAAGCATGAACCACATTTTTATAAAAAGATAATACAAAAATATTTAATTGAAAAACATTGCAAATATTAAGCAAAAAACACCATGCACTCACTTTTGATTGCCAGTCTATGTATGTACATATGTGTGCACACTTTATGCCAAACTATCATTATTTTAAATTGTATTTGCATCTTCATAAAAGGAGAACAAGATAAAAAATGTAACAAAAATTACAAATTAATGAAAATTATGTGAAGATTTACCATATTTTCGTTTATTTGCTCAAAGAACATCACATTTCATGTTGCTCAACATTGAATTACGTTATCGACATTAAATTCAACAGAACATTTTTACATTCCGACTTCAACTTTTCTAACGCTGTTAAATTTTCGGCCGCGAATAGTTTCCACTTTCAGTTTGCACCTTCTCTATCTATCTAAGTTCTCTGCTTGAGTCTGTTCGAATTGCGTGTCGATAACAAAGTGAAGAGTGGTTCATAATTTAGGATTGTTGTTTCGCTGTATTTGCACAATAGTTTCACTAGAAAAAATGGGTAGGCTGAAATCCCTGTCCTTGCAACATTATTTTATACTTTTGGGATAACGCTGTCTATTTGCTCTTAACAGGTGTACCAGTTCGCTGTCCTTTGACCACAATGCTGATGCATCATAAATTTTGCCTACTTGATGGTCCGAAGCGCGCCCGCTCTGTTTTAGCCAACGTCGGCAAAACTTATGATTCAAAAAATGTTAAGGGCATCGTCATGTCAGGCTCATTAAACTGGACGATGCAGGTGACCATATACACACATATTTACGAAGTATTATCAGAAAAAAAACTGAATTTCTTAAACCATTTCTTAACATTTGTAGGGCTTTGGTGGTAACTGGGAAAACATTGTAATCAGCTCGAATAAAATGCTGTTGGAACAATTCGAGGATGAATTTCAACGCATGTGGTTGGCATTCGCACCACGAACAAATTCTTAAACAACGAACTGGAAAGGTGAGTTTATTCTTGCTAATGTACATATGTGTGTATGTATGTAATATTCTGGTGAAGTGAACGTATTTCACTGACTTGATTGCTCGAAATGCTCCTATTACTAGGGCCTTGAAGTCGCTGCAAGAACTCCCCTTAATCTTTGTTATAACTAGTTATGTCCTCTCTTATTCTTATTTTTCGAATGATTTTATTATATTGCACTCCACTNGCCGCGAATAGTTTCCACTTTCAGTTTGCACCCTCTCTATCTATCTAAGTACTCTGCTTGAGTCTGTTCGAATTGCGTGTCGATAACAAAGTGAAGAGTGGTTCATAATTTAGGATTGTTGTTTCGCTGTATTTGCACAATAGTTTCACTAGAAAAAATGGGTAGGCTGAAATCCCTGTCCTTGCAACATTATTTTATACTTTTGGGATAACGCTGTCTATTTGCTCTTAACAGGTGTACCAGTTCGCTGTCCTTTGACCACAATGCTGATGCATCATAAATTTTGCCTACTTGATGGTCCGAAGCGCGCCCGCTCTGTTTTAGCCAACGTCGGCAAAACTTATGATTCAAAAAATGTTAAGGGCATCGTCATGTCAGGCTCATTAAACTGGACGATGCAGGTGACCATATACACACATATTTACGAAGTATTATCAGAAAAAAAACTGAATTTCTTAAACCATTTCTTAACATTTGTAGGGCTTTGGTGGTAACTGGGAAAACATTGTAATCAGCTCGAATAAAATGCTGTTGGAACAATTCGAGGATGAATTTCAACGCATGTGGTTGGCATTCGCACCACGAACAAATTCCTAAACAACGAACTGGAAAGGTGAGTTTATTCTTGCAAATGTACATATGTATGTAATATTCTGGTGAAGGTGAACGTATTTCCCCGACATGTTTGCTCGAAATGCTCCTATTACTAGGGCCTTGAAGTCGCTGCAAGAACTTCCCTTAATCTTTGTTATAACTAGTTATGTCCTCTCTTATTCTTATTTTACGAATGATTTTATTATATTGCACTCCACATATCCTATAAGAATTTCATTGGCTAATTAAATAAATAAATAAGCTAAAAACAAGAACCCTCCTTTTGACATATAAATCACGAGTTCGTAGATAAGCCTAAATTTTTTGTACTCTGCAATGATTAAACCAATAGATTTACATATTTACCGTCTCGGTTAAGCAGGAATAATACCTCCCCCTATTCGGAAATACATCAAACCAAAGCATCAGGCTCTTCTACATATTTCTAAATTATAATTCTTGATGTTCCAATTTTGCCTAACTAAGATCCGATTCGGCATTTAACCGTGTTTGCGCATATCGCATATATTGACTAAAAATAAAAGAGACTGATGCTTTAATGTAATGTATTTCGGAATAGGGGGTTCTTTTTAAAGCAGCATTTTTGAAATTCAGTATTTCCAAGGTTTTCAAGAATTTATTAATACTTTCCACACCAATTTTCATTTGCGGAACATAACAACTTCCATGACTATTCGCCATGATTAACGCACAGCCATGACTTCGTGCACATGAATTACTTTGTGTAGTGCAAAAAGCAGTAGCGTGAAATCGTTCGTATTCGATTGTGCGTCCATGCTAACACACATGCTTTCATTCATCTGATCGTGATCAAATAGATCTGATACAAAGCAGCCACATTCTAACTCGGTTATCTACTCGCTTCGTATAAATTTATTATTACTAAGGGAGCCGTAGATATAGTCATCGAAATTTATTCTCACAAAAATTCTAAATTGTTAAAATCTATTTGCANGACAGTTCCACAGGTTTTAGTCCGAAGTTCAAAGGAACAGACTAACTAAAAATAAAAGAGACTGATGCTTTAATGTAATGTATTTCGGAATAGGGAGTTCTTTTTAAAGCAGCATTTTTGAAATGCAGTATTTCCAAGGTTTTCAAGAATTTATTAATACTTTCCACACCAATTTTCATTTGCGGAACATAACAACTTCCATGAATATTCGCCATGACTAACGCACAGCCATGACTTCGTGCACATGAATTACTTTGTGTAGTGCAAACAGCAGTAGAGTGAAATCGGTCGTATTCGATTGTGCGTCCATGCTAACACACATGCTTTCATTCATATGATCGTGATCAAATAGATCTGGTAAAAAGCAGCCACATCCTAACTCGGTTATCTACTCGCTTCGTATAAATTTATTACTACTAAGGGAGCCGTAAATATAGTCATCGAAATTTATTCTCACAAAAATTCTAAATTGTTAAAATCTATTTGCATGTTTCCATACAAAACAAGCGATTGAATAGCAGCTCTTGAAACTTTCGCCAAACTCAGCAGCACAACCGCTAATTACTGGGCCTTGCAAAGGATGGACCAAGGCTGTATCTAGTTTTGTGGCAAACTAATATACATATACTATGTATACTTATTTTTTGAAAACATTTAAAAAGGTACTTATAGACAAGCTTTTTTGCTTGTTTNATATAGTCATCGAAATTTATTCTCACAAAAATTCTAAATTGTTAAAATCTATTTGCATGTTTCCATACAAAACAAGCGATTGAATAGCAGCTTTTGGAACGTTCGCCAAACTCAGCAGGACAACCGCTGATTACTGGGCCTTGCAAAGAATGGATCAATGCTGTATCTTTAGTTTTGTGGCAAACTAATATACATACATATACTATGTATACTTTTTTTTTAAAAACATGTAAAAAGGTACTTATAGACAAGCTTTTTTGCTTGTTTATGATGTTTAAAGGATTTTCTCGAATTGTAGCATTTACCTAACACTATCCGCTTATTGTTGGACTCTCACGTAAATCTGTCATCAGCAGGGGTCATTATTTTTTTCGTCAGTTTGCATACACAAAAAATATGTGCATACATATTTATCCATTGTATTCCATTTTACATGCTCGATTTAATTTCAGAGTGGTTTTCATAAATCTGTGTAATATAAGTGGAGAAGTGGAAATAATTGGTAGTTCAGGGTAGGTTCATTAATCTTTAAAAAAGTGGTTTAGCGCAACATGTTTGTGGCTATATCGTTCACGATGTCAATATAACATGTACTAGACCAATTTATAATGGCTGAGTGTGAAAATTTTAAAGCGAAAATTCGCTTATAACAAAACAACTGAAACTATTTGAATAAATTAAGAGCTGAATGTGCGGCACTGCTGTTTAGTGTATGTATATGTATTATTGTTCTTCTAAATTCCAGTTGTATCGTCCGCCTTCCAGCCAAGGAAAACATTTGAATATGACGCAGCGGCTATTGGTCACGAAAAAGATACTTTAGATTTAATTCTAATATATCACTTGGTCTTGCAACTCGTTAGTGACATATTTATTGAAAAAAAATAATGCTCCTACTTTACCAACTCCGCATATCCAAAGAAGTGCACAGTTAGTGGTCTTTTTTTCTGTGCGAGTTCAACACAAACGGCTATGCTTCATTTAGCAGTGACATTTCAATTAGGCATATGAAAACGAATTTTCAAATAAATGTTCTCTCATGTGGTATGCACATTTACATGTGTACATACATACAAATATATATGCATTATTGAAAACCAAATTAGTTTCTTCTTTCTTAGCTCGTTTTACATTGTATGTTTAGCTGTTTGATGACATTCAAAATGTGCTATGCTCTTTGCTGGTCCTTTACCTCCCCAATAAAAAGTTCTTCGGTCTGCTATTACATTGGCTTCACCACTATTTTCTTGCTTTTATACATACTTATGTAGATCTTTTTTTCACAGTTTTCTCTACTTTGTTAATCTCATAAAGGATTGTTTTGGTATTATCTGTGGTAACAGTATGATTAGCTGCTTGCAGTTTGCGTGTCTGTCTTTCTAATAATCCATTTAATTGCCACATAGCTTAATGATCATATTCGTACTTATTCTATGGCAAAGTGTGCATTAGATAACGAAGTTCATTTTTGTTGCATAAATACACTGTAAGTAATTTTGTATTATTTTAAGGCTTCCTGTACTTGATTTGCAATTTTCGTTTTACCCATTTTAAGAGCGTGTCAGACGTGGCAATATATTTCGATGCAATAAATTTCGGAAAGGCTGTCAAATTGAGAAATCAGTTCCATGAGCAGTCACACTTTGCATGGAAAGTGTCTTTTGAAAGAGGTTTTTATTTCCGAACGGCGAATTGCAGGAAAAATTTCTGAAATCGCTTTTTGGCTGTNAAAAAATGGAAGTAAACAACGAAATGTTTGAATATGTATAGATTTTAATAATTATTTAGTGATATTTCAGCTAAATCAGTGTTGTACAAATGACATGTAAACAAACCGACTGACGTTTTTACAGGAAATAGTGCTTTTTGCGTTCCTATGCACTTCTGCATCTGTTCTCCTTTTACTCTCATTTGAGAGAGTAAAATTGTAGTTTGACAGTTCCACAGGTTTTAGTCCGAAGTTCAAAGGAACAGACTAAAAAATTGCTAGTGCAGCACGAGCAAGTTGAAATATATTTCCGAAATCGATTTTCGCTCTTGCAGTTGCAGTCCCACCTTGCAACTTTTATTTCTGAAACTGATTTCCGAAAGGTGACAGAAAGATCTTTCTGGCTGTTCACACATCGAAATAAAATTTCTCTTTCTCAATTTGACAGCGAATTGCGTGCGAAAGACGGAAATATTGCCACGTCTGACAGGCTCTTTACTCTTCAAAATATCCGCTACGTAGAATCAGCTGAACCAGAACATTTCGATAACTTAAAACCGAGCTGGCATAAATCATTGATGCTCTCAGTTTGTTACCTTCAGCACAGCATAAAGACAAATCATGAAATAAAAAATTTTGTTAAAAGCAATTTTTACTGTCCAATAAATGACTTTAAGTGACCTTTTGACCTTTTTTTTAAGTGGACGGTTCTATCACCTTTTGTTTCTTTTCTAGAGCTGCCCAAATATAACACATTGAGTTAGAAATTGGCATATTTGTAGGCAGATTTGGATTATATTAACACCTTAAACTAATATTCACTTGTGTTCCAAATTTGAAGCCTCTAGGTTAATTTATACTATATATGGCCAGCCTTTTCGTGATTTCTCCCGCTGTGCGATGTTGAAAAATTTTCTGGAGTTCTAAAATCGACGGACGAAAGAAAAAAGTATCATTATTTTTCAATCTTTTTGGTTCTTCCGTGTGTGCGATTTAAATTATTTTCAACGAAATGTGTTTTCAATTTGAAATTAAGTGTGTTTGAATGATTATAAGAAATGTACGTTTACCATACCTTTGGCTGTAGCTGAGTGTGCAGAGGTGCTTGCTGTTAGATTTCAGAAGGTCCCAAGATGTTAAAATGTTAGCACAAACTTTTGTTTTGTATTATCAAGCTATGAAAAAGCATCTGCGAAGTGCAGAATGGAAGCGTATTTGAACGAAAAAGCTGCCAACCTCATATCTATGTAAAGTAAACAAGCTCCCCGCTGCATCCCTTTGCGATAGTTCCGAACTAGTTCTAAATTATTCATTCCTTTTTCCATAGTTCTGAACCAGTTCTAAATTCGACACCTTATAGGGAATTTACATGAGGCAATTTTTCGGGCAACTTTTAGTTGAAGGCCACCATCGCCTGGTGTAAACGGCCTTTCAACTAATCGCTTTCAATGAAGTTGGTCGGCTGCCTACTTTCGTTCAACTTTTGATTCAACTAATCGCCTATGAAAGTTGAATCATGTAAATTCCCTATTAGATATAGATTTCTAATGGAAAAAGTGAAACAAAATAGTTTTTTTAAAAGTACCACATTTCGATCATTTTGAACTGGTCCTCACCTAGTTACTATCGTACTGGTTCGTTT